CTTGGCATTTTGAAGGCTAAAGTCCTAGACCAACAACTATGTATTTTTCCCAAACTGTGGGCGTCTTTGCCTTGTTGCCTCAGGGAGGGGAGAGGAATGCAGGATTATGACTGCAATTAATCAGGCCCGTAGAGGTAAAAGCTGGCTCAAGCAACATGAGAAGGAAACCCTGGCCAGAGCTGCCAGGCTCCCCTATGAACTTCCATTCCCTGCCTGGCAAGAAAAACACTGGAGGCGGCTTCGGATCCTTAGTTAAGGCGAGGAGCTTGGCTGGTTGGCTGGATGGCTCTGGGTATTGCTTGCTTCGCACTTTTTTTGGAGCTGGGGCAGGGGAGCGGGATGCAGGGAAGCCGTCCTTACGCCAGGACACTGGGGGTTGAGAACCACTTAGGGAAGCCACAAGGAAGGCCTCTGCAGGGACTGGCCACATTTGCTTAGGAGTCCACCGCCTTTCCACTGACAAGTGAGCTGCCAGCTAGGACATCGCCACAGGAGAGATGTGTGTGTGCTGGGCTGGCTCTTGTCGCTTATATATAGAAGCAAGTGCTTATTCACTCTGGGTGCTGATTCCATAGTAGCACTTCAAACACTTATAGGAAAGGGGGAGGGGCTCATCACAGTTCAGGATTATTTTCAGTTCCACTCTGGAATGAGCAGGACAGGTGGGCCAATGAAGCCCTAGCCAATTCAGCTAGGGACAGTTATCCCAGGGAAGGAATGATGTCCCTTGGGAGTGGAGCGGGTGGGAAGAACAATTCCACCATGGCTTCCTAGCTTTGCGCATTTGCACCTCACTGGGAGGAGGCAACTCCTTATTCCTTCCCACTTCCTGTAGGCGGCTTACTGTGCTCAAAGACACACCCACCATGCTTTTTTTTTTTTTTTGAGTTGGAGTCTCACTGTCACCCAGACTAGAGTGCAGTGGCCGCTCCGGGCCACCGCAGCCTCGACCTGCTGGGCTCCGGCGATCCTTCTGCCTCAGCCTTCCAAGTAGCCGGAATTACAGGTGCGCGTTACCACGCCCAGCTGATTTTTTGATTTACTGTAGAGATGAGGTCTCGCTGCCCAGGCGGGTCTCGAACCCACGGGCTCAGGCAATCCACTCACCTCAGCCTCCCAAAGGCGTGGGATTACAGGCTGAGCCACCGAGCCCAGCTGCTTTTTTTTTGTTTGAGTTGGAGTCTCACTCTGTCGCCCAGACTGGAGTGCAGTGACCGCTCTCGACCTGCTGGGCTCCGGCGATCCTTCCGCCTCAGCCTTCCAAGTTGCCGGAATTACAGGCACATGCTACCACGCCCGGCTAATTTTTTGATTTTATTGTAGAGATGAGGTCTCGCCTGCCTAGGTGGGCCTTGAACCCGCGGGCTCAGGCAATCCACTCACCTCAGCCTCCCAAAGGCGCGGGATTACAGGCTGAGCTGGCTTTCTGTGGACCGGCTCTTGCTCACAAGAGACAAGAAAGACAGAGAAGTCTGGGACCAGGACATCCCAAGGGCATCTTCTTTGGGCACCGAGGGCTCCTGTGCCTGGGCTGAGAAAGAATGACTGACACAAGAAACAGATGCTTTCTCCTTCTCCAGGGCTTGGGGGTCAGGGACAGAAAACTATAAAAATAAAAAAATAAAAAACAATGCTTGAGCTTTCTGAGGCCACAGAGAGTGGCAAGCTCCCAGAGTCATGAATAAAGCCCAAGAACTGGAGTCATTTGATGCGGGAGAAAGGTGAGGGGTGGGGGTGAGGCTCACCCCAGATAACTGAGAGATGAGATGACCACATGGAAAACCAAGAGCCAGTTCCATGGGTTTCTGGAAGGCATGTGAACTCCAAAGGAGATAAGGTGGATAAGATACTGTGAGTGGAGGGGGCAGGGGACAATCATCCCAAGTCTCCACCAAACTTTCTTTGTGGTTTTCTCCCAGATTGAGAAACGATGTCACTGGCCTGATAGATCGGAAACCATACTCCACACTCACGCCACCTACTCTCTGGGGTTAAACTGCTGATTTTCATCTCCTAAGAGTTCAGCACGTTCCCTCTGGCCAGAGAAGAGCGCCTGACCCGGCCACACGGACACCACAATTCCTGGCAGAGCAGACCATCAAGGTGCATGCTTGCCCACATGCAGGGAGTGTGGGTGAGTGCCCTCCTCACGCCCAGCAGCCTGGGGAGACCAGGCTAGCAAAGGCTGGGACTGCTTTGTATCTGATTTGCTGTCTGTAACACTGCCTGGAGGGTGTGACCCCGGCACCGTGCTGAGCTGTAGGGAAGTAACTGTGGTGGGCATTTACTTTTCTCCAGGAGGAGGGCAGACCACTTTTTAAATTCGATTGTTCTATGACACGGTTTGAAAACAAGTAAATCAGCTTCTGAGAAAGAACAAGGATTGAGAAAAGAAGATAGCACACCATGCCTGGAAGAAAGCACAGGGCAGGAACATGCCCAAGAGGGGCCCCAGGCTGCAGGGCCCTATGACGGGACCTGCTCTCACTGGACAGTTGTCAGGGGTCCTACAGGAACCCCCAGCCACCTGAGAGGAGGTCGGCAGCTAGCACTGGGTCAGGGGCCTGGGTCCTCCAAGGCTACCGTCCCATCCACAGAAACTTCCCTTCCAACCACAGACCAGCCTTCCCTGGGACCTATTTCTCCTCTGTGGAGGGTCATGGGACCCGAGAGAAAATAAACAACTACAAAAATTAAGTGGCAAATATATAAGCACTAAGTCCCGGCCTGCACAGGTCTGGCTGACATCTGCAGGCTCAGGAAGGAGCAGAGGCCTCGCTGGGCTCCCTGGGAAGGGAGGAACCAGTTGACTTAGATCCCAGGCACTGCTGAAAAGACATATAGCTACAACAGAACTGAGGCAGGATGCTTCACCTATCGGCAGCACAGAAGTCATAACATTTTTACATCTAATCAATCACAAGTCTGCCCACTAACCTTCCTAAATCAAAACCTCAGTGCATCAGATTCTTGTTCAAACAGATTAAGGGAATTGGGTCAGGTTCTGCGGCCTGTGTTTCTCCAGGTCTTACTTAGAAAGTAACACTAAAGGTCAGCATTTTGGGAACCCCAATGACCTGAAAAGACTCGAAGTAGAGGGAAGAACAACACAGAAGAAAAATAACTGACAACGAGGCTGTCCATTCCAGAGAGCACAGACGGTTCTGAGCTCTCCCAAGAGCACCCAGCAGGGCTGATTCTGGGCCAGGCACAGCACGGACCAGAAGGAGAAGAGGCCGGCGGAAGCACTGGCTGAAGTCCCTCGGAGGACACATCTGCCCTGCCCTCCCTCTGAGATTGCCACTGTGCGTGCCTTACCAGGATGCTTCCTTTCACACACTGCATTTTCCTCCCATCTTGATCATGCTCCTGTTTCCAAAGGTGTCATCTCTCCCCAACTTCGCACGTTCTGCCACTGCCTAGATGGCCCAGTCCAAATCAGCTCTCCTACGCAGAGCTTTTCCTGACCTTGCAAACAAGTGTGCCTTCTGGCTGTGAAACTTGCATGGCACTAAGTGTCCGAACCCTCAAAGAGACCCTTCTACGATTTCTTCTGATGCCTCTTGCGTGACTTAACTAGCGCATGTGACTTAAATCTTGAGTGTGTTCCTGAGGCCTCTGTGATGCCAGACATCCAGTTTCCCTCTGCCTCCTCCATAGACTACAATGTGGTTCAGGAGGAAACTCAGAGGTGAGGAGCTGCATCAGAGACACACTTAGGAGGCCTAACATGGGGAGACAGATGTTCTTAGGTGGCCTGTCTAATATGGCAGATGCACCTAGGAGGCCTGTCCCATAAGGAGAGGTATCTAGAAGGCTCGTCTGACATGGGAGATATACCAATGGGGCCAAACATGGAGAGATGTGCCCAGGGGGCCGGTCTAAAATGGGGAGATGTGCCCGGGAGTCTACCATGGGAGACGTACCTCAAGGGCCTGGCTAGCAAGGGGAGCTAGAAGTTCTCAGGGGACTGTTGCCCCATGGAGCAGCTGCTCTGGGGGGGTGGGGGCTTAATCACCACTTCCTCTCATCCTGAGGAGAGTCCCACTGAGCTGTGTGTTCACGAGGATGCTACTGTGCTTCTGATGCCCGCTTCCATGGGCCTGAATTCCTATTTTAAGACAGAGGCCTGTGACTTCTGTAATTTAGAGATTCAGGAGGGTTTCATCTATTCTTAGCTTACAGAGGGCAGGATGTTGGTCAGAAGAGAAGTGCAAGGGAAGTCGCAATCCAGTTCGTGTAACTTCCAACAATTCTAGAATGACCTGGAAAGAACTCGGGGAGACCGTGACTCAACACTTCATTTGAAGCCACAGAAATGAGAGACCAGAGGGCCTGGGGTGGGGGCTGTGGAGACTCGTTCAGCTAGTGGCTGACAGCACTGATACAAAACTCCGGTCTCCTGAAGGCTAGTCAAGTGCACATTCGCCACATGTGCTGCCTCTCCCTGCTGAAAATACGCCGCTATAAATAACAGTCCTTTCGATCAGGCTAGAATTCTGAACGGACGAGAAACCTCAAGACTGACTGCACAACATAAATCTGTAGCCCTGCAAAATTGCGGTATTTAAAATAAGCACCCTGGGTGATAATGAAGTCAGTAAGGTCAAATGGGAGGATGAAATGAAACACAGGTAAGATGCAAAACTTGAAGCCAAGTTCTACGTCTCACAGCAACTTCCAGATTGACGCCGTTTCCACCTCTGGGCCTCAGTTTCTCAGCTCTAAAAATGGATGCTCACAGGGTTTCTCAGTGGGGGACTCCTGTGCTTCAACAGGCTCCATGCTTCCTTGGGACTGTCCTCTCTCTCGCAGGACACTTGGCATCCCTGGCCTCAGGCCCAGTCAGCGTGACAACCAAACATTCCCCCTTTCCCGGCATTGCAAACTCTCTGGTCGAGAGCCACCAGGAAGACCTCCAAGGTCCTCATTGGCTCTCAAACGCCAGCAGGAAGCCAAGTCCTTCCGGCCAGCACGGGGAGGACAGGTGGCAGGCCTACCCATAGATGTCCAGGACGCCGATGAAGGAGTGCTGCTTGAGGGAGGTATGCAGGGCCTTGTTGACGTGGTCCACGATCCAGCCGAACAGTTGGGCGTAGATGTGCTTGGCCAGGGCGTTGCGCGCGTTGACCACCTGCTGCAGGGACATGGTCTTGACATAGGTCTCCGAGGTGGTGACCAGCTTGCGGTGACACAGCCAGTGCTCCATTTGACTGTGCTCCACCCCCAGGAGCTGGCAGAAGTTGCTGAGGTGCTCGTCCTGGGGCTGGGGAAGAGGAGAGACGGCTCAGGAGGGGCGTGAAGACCACCCCATCCCGTCCCCCACCCTCCCACCAGAGGGAAGACAAGCCAAGTCCACGGCCCCTGCCCTCCAGAAGCCCACCTCATCCCCAGCCGCTGGCCCAGCAGTTCACATGCTCACTGCTGCGTAGAGGGCCCGCGGCAGGACGCTGCTCAAGCTGGTCGTTCCACCTGCGAATGCCCAAATCACTAGGCCTCAGAACACTCTCCGCCTTGCCCATCCCCTCCCTTCAGGCCAGGCTGGAAGGACAGTCCCTGGGTGACTGGACGGACAGTCCCTGGGAGCAGAATGAGAACAGCCAGCTCAGGACTGGACAGCCCACTCAGGGTATCGAGCAGATTCATGCTGAATGCACAGTATGCATCTGCGGGTGCCACGTGCTGAGCCCACAACCAGAGAGCAGCTGGCTTCCTCCCTCCTGGACTCCTTCACTCAGGGGTCCCTCTGACCTGCCCCATCTAACCAGCTGTATGCTCAAAAGCAGTGCTGGGCACTATGGGAGGAGGGCCCTTCAAAGGCACCAGCCACGTCCCTTCTTCGGGCCCTGCTTGTAAAGTAACCAGGAGGACAGGTCGAATATTGGATTCTCTTCTGGTTGAATGGGGCAAGTTTTTCAAATGATAAGTGACACCAATGGGTGTATCCAGCTGCCCTGGGCAAGAAACAGGCTGAAACTCAACAAACTGCCCCCAAACCCCCAGCACCATCCAGGCTGCCAAGAAGCTCCCTTTCATCCTAGTCTCAGTGAGGCCAACTCACACAGAACTGGGCTGTTCACCTTCTTAAAGCACGTAATGCTCAGAGAAAAGGTTAATTAACGTGCAAAGCCAGGACATATTTGGACCTGAGAAGTCCATTTGGAAGACTTTCACTGATAACATCACACACGTTGAGAGCTGGAAAGAAACTGAATTCCTTCCGTTTAAGCCTCTTTTTCATAAACGTAAGCAGCTCAGCCCAGACAGGTACAGTGACTCCCTCGGGTCCTCAGGCTCAGGACTCCTACTGCCCTCCCTCTTAAGAGACAAGGTCTCACTCTGTCCCCTAGGCTGGAGTGCAGTGGCATGACCATGGCTCACTGCAGCCTTGACCTTCTGGGCTCAAGTAATCTTCCCAACTTGGCCCCCCATTAGCTAAGACTATAGGTGCATGTCAGCATACCAGGCTAATTGTTTATACTTTTTGTAGAGATGGGGTCCTGCTGTATTGCCCAGGCTGGTCTCAAACTCCTGGCCTCAAGCTCTCCATCTGCCTCCCAAAGTGCTGGGATTATAGGTGTGAGTCACCAAGCTGAGCCTCCCATTGCCCTTCTACTCAAGCTACCTCCTATCTACCCAGCTGCCTCTAGGGGCTACATGTGAGTCCTGACATTCATTTGCCCAAATGCCAATCATGCTAGCTGGCCTCTGAGCCACTGGATGGTCACAATTCCCACTGGGTCTTGTCTTATTTCGCTGGGATGCATAAATCTCGGATAATCCTTGCAGCCCCACACAGGGTATCCCACAGAAAGCCTGCTTGTCCTTGGAGGTTCCCCTTGCCGTTACTCATTCCCTCCTGAGTCCCACCTGGGAAAGCTGATAACCCAGTCTGGAGCCTTCAGGAAGCTTATTAATGCTGCGGCTGAAAGGGAATCCTTTAGAACACGACATGCCCTCTCCTAAATGGCCCCAAATTGCTTGCAGGCCTCACTTTCTGATGAGGTTGCCTTGTAGGATTTAAATGAGGGCTTGTTCCATGAACATGAACACAGAAAACTATCATTTTCCCCTTAATACCGTATCACCCGGGCCATTTTTTTCTCCTACTAATATTTAAAATCCATCTCCCCAAAACAAACACAGTTATAAAATAAGAGACGGTCAGAGTAGGAAAGAACTGTCCAAAATCATTAAGGCCAGTATTTTTCCAAAGTGTGGTTTGTGGAACTGTAGTTGCAAAGAACACTAATTGGTTTTACTCCCCAGAGGGGAGACGGGATGGCACCAGGTAAACACCACCGGGCTGGCTTTAAATGCAGCGCAAAGTTCCAAGAGGCTGCTCTTTTAAGGAGTGTTTCTGTATCTTATTTGACCAAAGAGCACTTATGTTCCTAAGAAAGGGCCTGGGGTCAAGGTTCCCAGGAAAACACCTTTGGAACGACCATTCTAAGCCAACCCCCTACTATGCAGAGCAAAACAAGGTCAGTGAGGCCCCTACTTTGGAGACCAGGGTTCCTGAGCCCAGCCTAGCAGGGGAGTCCTGGAATGGGGGGCATGGAGAGACCTTGTCTCTTGGCACTCAGCAGAGAGGTTCCTCCCCCAGCCAGTGGCTCTCCGCTGCAGCCAGCCCACCTCTCCCTCCCCCCAAACACAAGCCATATGTGGTAGAGTTAAGAGCCTGGAGACCGCCTGGCAGACAACAGTTCAGAGGTGGCACACATCCAACATGTTCATCTGACCTATTTCCAAGAAACTCTTAATTGCTAGGCACAGCACTGCAGATTAATTCCCTGTCACTTAAATGGCCTGCCAGCAGCCCCCACACTGGCCCAAGACCTGCCACAGGTGCCCCTGCCCATGCTTCAGACATTGAGTGCAGTGAAGAAAGGACCACAGTTAAGTGCCATCTGATAACCACCTGGGGACAGGCTCTATCCACCAAGGTGCAGCACGTTCCCCTTGGCCCTTCCGACTCTTGATTTGAGGTACTGACTGAAACTGATTTAACATCATGCAATTACATTTAGGCAAAATTAAATGATGCTAAATCCATTAAAAAGAGCCAGCATTATAGGTAGCAGATACGTTTTATGGCCCATATTGCCAAATTCAAGAAACAAATTGCCTCTGGTGTCCAAGTAATTAGAGGCTGTCGGATCTCCAAGGTAACTAACAATCACAGAGCACATTCCCGTGCTTTAATTAAAAATGAAAACCGCCGAGCAGAAGGCACACTGCCCGTGGAAAGACAGCCTTTCCATCAGGAGGCCTGCCCTGGGTCCCCAGGAGGAAACCCTAATTGGCTCGAGAGAGGGGCTTTCAGGAGAAGCACTTCCGGACACGGTTCTAAAGCACACACGCTGTGTCCAGCACTCCATGTGTGTGGCAGGGGTTACCAAGCACGCGGGGGACTGCTCCACTCCGAGGACCTGCTGAGGAAGCCAGTGGGCAGCTGTGAAGGGGAACAAACACTGGCTGGCCCTCCTGCCTCTGCCATGAGCTGTCATTCTCACCTCAGAAAGGTTCTCTCTCTGGGCCTGAGCGTTTCCTCAACGTACAGGAGAGGGACGCTCTGAAGGTCCACCCTGCACTAACCACAAGCCTGATGATACCCATACAGAACTCCATCCCTGTGCGCTCTGTGCTGGGGTCGGTCCACACAGGCCTTTACGGAATCCTCACACCACGGAGGAGGAAGCAGAGGCTGAGGTGCTGGCCCCCACCACACATGCAGCACACGACAGAACTGGGGAGGGAACCCGTACTGTCCCGACTTGGCGTCCCTGCTGTCTACCAGCTCCCCACACAGCTGCAACTGCAGAGCCATGCGAGACCAGCCCAGACACCGCACCTCCAAGACGCCTTCTGGGACTTCTGCTGTGTCGGAGAAGGTGGGATCTGAACTCAGCCTCCAGGCCTCTGCCCTCCTGCCTCCCTTCACCCAAGAAGTCCATGCTTCCCCCAAGACGGCCCCGGTGTTCCTACCATTGCATGGTCTCCACACAAAAACGCAGTGGGTGCTGGAGGAGTGCAACAGACATGGTCCTGATAAACACCCACTCCCCTTCCACCTGAGCATCCCTGGAGGCCAGGGTGAAGGATCAGCACAAGATCAGAGGCACTCTGCTTACAGGTGCAGGCTTGGCTTTCCAAGAGTCTCCACCCCCATGCAGGTGCCCGGGACCCGGTCAGCCCCACTGAGACGCAGAGCTGCCCTCCACCCTTGCTCTCAGGGGCCTGCCCTGATCCTAGAGTGCCTCAGTCATCCATCCACCACGTTCTGGGCACCCACGAGTGCTGGACGCCGCACTAGATGCTGGTGATACAATAAGGGTCAAAAACTGTCCCTGCTCTCACTGCGTCCCAAGCCTCAGAAAGGAGAGACTCGGGCAACAAATCATCACACAACAAATGCACAGTAACTGCTGAGTGCTGTGGAGGACAGGTACACGATGCTGTAAGGACCCTGGCAGGGGATGCAGTCAGGACCCTGAGAAGGGCTTGGGGTGGGAACATCTGCCATCTTTCCGGCATCTCTCCAGCCAAGGCCAGGAAAAGTCACTGCAGATGCTCCTAATCTCCCCTGTCCCTAGAGACACAGGGCACTTACTGGGTCCTGGGCACGGGGGAAGCAGACTCACCCTGTGTCTTTCTCACCTGGGGAAAAACATCAGGAACGATACTCACTGGCCCTATAGACTGAGATGAGGGGAGGGTTTTTCCTACACCTAAAGCCGTCCACCACTGCCAGGCCTCTCCTACATTCCCAGCATCACTCAGGTATCACCCAGTCGACCCACGGCATTGCACCTGTTCCCCCAAGACACCACACATGTGCACGGACATCAGATGCCAGGCACTGCTCCAGGCACCCAGCCCTGCCAGTTCCAACATTGCCTCCTTTCCCAGCGGCCTGGTGGGTGAGCTTCAAAGCTCTCAGGAGGCTACAGAGCCCAGGCCAAGGATGGCAGTAGGCCCAACAGGCCCAGGGGCCCTCTCAAACCCAAGGTCATTTAGGGACATGTATTGCGGAGGACACACGAGTTCCTCTAGATTCCAGCTACAGTTCTGATCTAGCTACAGCTACTGTCTTGCACAAAGGCATGGCAGTCCGAACTCCTGACAACCCCAACCCCGGGCAAACAGCAGTGAGTGCATGGACTCATGCCCACATCAGTACTCTCATGGCGCTGTCTTACATTTTCCCAGCGTCTGGTCATTCAGAGTCCGAGTCCTTGGAAACGAGAGTCACACTGTGAACTTCATCAGATGGGCACAAAAGAGGTCTAGACTCAAGAGCTGCAGATTCACCTCTTCAAGGACAGGATACCACTTGGCCTAGCCCAACACCATCAAGTCCCAGAGAAGGCATAGCAATTGTTGGCACAACTGTGCTGGCACTCACGCCCCACCTGCCCACCACTAGACTGTCAGCCGCCACACAGCAGCACGACAGAGAGGAAATAACCTCCATCACGAGTCTTTACAGAACCCTTAATGGTTTGCGGCCTTTCGCATAATGTCTCACTCAACATCCTGCCACTTGCCGCTGGTCTCGGCAGGGGCTGCCACCACCCAGCTAGACTGCAAAGCCCCTCTGGGCGGCACCACACAAGGGGTCCAACACACTTTCACCTCCTTGTAGCACGAACCTCTGTCTAGAGCTCAGAATGTACTCAGTGGGCCGAGAGCATGTCGCCATCAAAAAGAAGTCATTAATCAGCCACCAAATTCCCTACCCTCAGCAACAGAAACTTGATGGCAGATGATTTTAAAAGGATGAGCTCTTTTTAAAAATTATCAGCAAGTGAACAGGAACTAATCCTGTTACGAGTAAATAATCTATGAGTGTCCTCTAAGTGTAGAGACACATTTCAGTCATATCAGACGGTAGGAACAGAGCAAATCGTGTACCTTTATCTCAGGTGCGGGTGTGCAACTTACTGATATACTACAGGAATCACCATCGCGCTCAGCCTGAATCGCCACACTTCCCAGGTGCAGGATAGAAGCAATTATCTTAAAAATGCTTATCTGATGGGACTCTCTGACTCCTGGAAAAAAGAAGTGAATGAATGACACTCAATATCTGTGGTAAGATGGAAAGGACATCTCACCCTCTTTAAGGACTTTTTAAAAAAAAATAAGATCTGATTTTCGTTTCTGGCCCAGTGATTCCTGAAGTGATCCAAGCTCCTCACCAAGTAATTACTTCTCACAGCAACAGCTCCGAGGGCAAAGGGCCCTCCCTGGACTAGACAGGAAATATCCTCCCTCTGATTGTCCTGGCCAAGCCAGCTGGGTCATGCTACCATTTTAGCTTCTCGAAGAGCAGAGGAGAGGCGGCAATTCTGCAGACTCGTTTTGGACTGCATTTCAATCAAACACTTTATGGATGTTTTTATGCGTTTAATAAGAATGGTCATTTATCTGCAATCGTTTTTCCCCACATAATAACCTGCAACATCTGTGACACGCATCCACAGCACAGACCAGGGAGGGAGAAGAGAAACTTCTCCAGGGACTGCCATTCCAGGGCTGGTGGCCAGCTGGCCTTCAGCCATTCCGGACGGGGGCTGTGGTTCACCGTGCTACTCACATCCTCCTGTCATAGCCAGGCACCGAAACAGAACCACTATGGCAGCAATCACCTGCTGTCATATTTGCTACTTAGCTTTATGAGTTATCAAAGGCATGGACAATCTCTTACAATCTATATTTAGCTTGAAGGCACTGGCATTTCTTTTAAAACTGCAAAATGCTTCAGACTTATTCTAGAAAGACTACAGAATAAAATGAACTGCTACTAGGTTCAAGCAATACAGTTGATCCCCCCATTCCTCTCAGCTGCAGTTACTTATTTTTAAGGCAATCCTTTACTCAGGCTAAAAAGAAAAAAAAAAAAGGCACCCGTACAGATGGGAGACACAGACATGTCATGCTAAGATCAAAAAATTCCCCAGACAACCCAAGCATGACCCAAACAAAGTTTGTTCTAGGCTTTCATGTTAGATGACCACTACCAGGTAAGCTGCGTAAGGGCAGGGATTTACTTTTAAATTTTTATTATGTAAAATTTCAAAACATACGACGTGAAAACTAACAAAATGATGTGCTGAATCCCTATTCTGACTTCATCATTGTATGCCCAGTGCCTGGACAGCGCCTGGAACAGCACCTGCACACGGCAGGTGCTCAGAAACACAAATGGAAGGGTGGCCAAGTTGATGGCCATTACACAGACTGCAAATACCTGCAGATATCCACAGAGACACATGCCTTATTCAAATACAGGGTTTTATGTAGTCTAGTGAAACAAAAAACAGCCAAAGGCCAAAGAACTTAGGCAGCCATCTTGGCCCAACGTAATGGAATATACCCAGTGAAAGGAATATGGGTTAAAGCCAAAGGCTGGTGATCCGGGACAGATAGGAAACCAGACGCCTATGTGCCCTTGCGGGAGGAAAAGTGCCAAGCTTTTGGGTTGAGCTCAGAGGGCCTTATTTTTCAGGAAGGCCCATGAAAATCACTAGTCAGAGAGCAACGCTAGAACCAACATGGCAAGAGGGATAACCACTCAGGCACTGGCTTTTCTCTCACCTGTACTCATTCTGGGGAGCTAGTGCTTTGTCGGTTTCTAAAGCTCTAACCACCCTGTCAAACAGGAATTTAAGGGGCAGATATGGAATGAATATTAAACCCCATTCCAACAATTGTTGGAATCCCTGCACTACACGCATAAGAGAATTCCTTCTCTTTGGGACTCTGAATAAGCAGTACCTCACTACAGGAAGCCAAAATGAAAACAAAAACAAAAATCCAACAATAAAACCTGAGGCGTTAAAACGGGTCGGTAACCTATGGCCCATGGCCTGTTTTTGTAAATAAAGTTTTATTAGAACACAGTCATGGCCACTCAGTTATATTATGCCTGTTGAGACTTCCATGATACAATAGCCGTGGTAGTTGAGTAGTTGCAATAGAAACCATATGGTTCACAAAACCTAAAATATTTACCATCTTCTTCTTAAAGAAAAAGTTTGCCAACCCCTAGAATAGAAAATAAAGGCCATGCTTATTAAAGATGTATTGAAGAATAGGGAAAAGAGTCTTATTATAACGCTTCATTTTACGAAGGCGGTCTGCTTTGAGAATTAAAGCATCCCGCCTCCTTAGCGCCTCTCCTTCTATAAGTGCATGTCCACTGCTCACGACCAGAGCAGCTGCCAAAGGTCTCCTCCTTTCCCTGATAACTGGGGCAGAGTAGAAGCTGCTCGATGCCAAGTCTTCTCCAAACATGCCCCCAACTCTGGAGAATAAGGCAGGCATGTGACTCTGAGGAAGTCAGGGTTTTGCCCTCGCTGGACCCTGTCAACACTCTCCCTGGCCTGCCGGGGGAATGTCAAGTGCAGTCAGCAGAGGCTGCTATGGTCACCTGCAAGTCAATAGCAGCAGGAAGACATTCCCTTTTCTGGTCCTGAGCCTCCATGGTCACTGTGCACCTGGGAGCCCAGCAACCTCGTGGATGAATGAATGCCAGTTGAGCCCTCAGGCCTGTCTCTGTTCAGTGTCAGGTTGCAGTTGCCCCACACCCCAGGGCAACTGCAGCCTGCTGTGTAGACCAGCCCTGGCCACACCCTCTTAGGAGTGGGCTGAGCCTCGGCCAAGGGTGGGGGGCCCCCCCAGCAGTCCTGGCTGCGCTTCCTCACCCTCGAGAGGGCAGCTCTTTTTTTGCGCCTGATACTTCTGGGCCTTTTAAAGTCCTTACATAGTTCATCATCTACTACTACTCTAGTTAACAACTATTTATGCTAATTTCTCTCTGTTGGAATAGCCAGTGTGGTTCCTGTTTCCTGACTGAGAGCTCATGGGTACAAAAGACAAACCCTATCTATTCACCCCTCACCAGAGAGAACTGCCCAACACTAGCATCTCAGCACCTGAGAGCCTGGCTGTCTCCCCACACAGAGATCAGGGTGCGTCCTGCTTGTTTTATCTGGATACTAGGTAGATCTTCCCTGACTCCTACCAAGGAATCCACATGTGCTGCTCCCAGTTAGCCACAAGTTCAGAAGCCAAATGTACGTCCTGTCAGGGAAGGGGCTGGGAAGACATGAGGGCCACCCGGGGCCCCTGTCTGGATTTCAGGCTGAGTGCCTGAGCCTCCCTTTTTCTGGCTGCAGGTCCCAGGAAGGTAACACTTCAACTCTCCAATTAGGAAAGGCTCTTCTTCCCAAAGCTGACTGGGGACAAGGGCAATTTCCTCCAGCTCTACGGTCCCTTTCTGCCCTTGAAGGACAGAGCTTCTTGTCTGAAGGATTTCATGCTAAGCTCTATAAGGAAACAGAGCTGACAGAATGGGCGCTGTATGTGTGACAGAGTCACCTGATCTCTATAGCTGCTTCCCACTCTGACTCCAAGAGTGGGACACACAGAGCTCTGGATCAATAGGGTACTCTTTCTAGACCACTGCCTCCAGACCCAGACACGGCATAAAAAGGCACGGCTCCCTTGGTCCCGATGGCCTGAGCGAGTAGCAAAGGACATGTTGTAGTGCCCAGGAAAGAGAGACTCAAAGAGGCCAACAGAGCTCCAAATGTTAAGATCAGAGCCTGAGGGGTGGGGTGGAAAGAGGGTAGGAAGAGTCACCAGAGCAAGAGGGTGTCCCCCATAGAGCAGGAAGGTTGGCAAGCATCGCCTTGTGTGGGACGTCCCCATGTGCTCCCCCTTCCACAACCTCAGCCTGGGGCTTGTGTCTTCCGCGCAGAAGCTCCTTACCCAAGAGTGTGAAGGCTTGTCGTGTCTTCTCAAAGTCCTGAGCGTCATCCACACCCTCGATGGATGTGTCTCCTCCCTGTGACGTGTAGAAAAAGTCCTCAGCACTTGCTGTGGGAGGGAAGGACAAAAGGCATGAGGCAAGTGAGAGCACACGTCACCCGCGGACCATGACCCTTGGCTTCCGCTCCCTCTGCATGCTGTCCCAGGGGACGGGAACCCTTTTAAAACAGTCTTTATCCACAACGGCAAATGTGAGAGAAAACCGAATATCCAAAGAGAATACGAAATGACACTGACAGGATGTATTGCTGTATTTATGTAAACTGGTATGGGAAAAGTGTGTTAACACAAAAGATAAGTAAGTCACAAACCGACGTAATCGGGTTCACCGCAGACTTTTTTTAAGAAGTCTGATACAAGTACAATGTATATCCACCCTAGAATCAGATTTCTGTGGCCTCAGAAAAGCTCAGTTTGACAAGCTCATGTGGCAAATGAGGGGTATGATGTGCCCGCAGGGACACAGTTTTTTTTTGCTTTACGAAGTTGAGGCACACTTGAACGACTGAGGCACAAATGCAGCTCGAGACCCTCACACGTTTGCTCATTCCCGGCTCGATCCTTCTCCAGTTGGGTCTCTGCTGACAGCATATCTCGACATTACAGACACTCCCAGCACAGGGCGAAACATAACAGGTCCTGGGTAGTGTGTGCCCTGCAGGAAGGACGAGCCAATAAGCTCTTTGGAGGGGACCTGGGCACAGATCAGCATTCAGAACAACTGTACATAACAAAAGTTACCCTTAGTAATCATATAGCCCTTTGCTCTCGGACGTCACCTCTGAGGAGACACCGTAAATCTAGCAAACCACTCAGATGACCCCTCTCAGGGGACATTAAGAGATTGCTGGTATTATGCAGGACAGACTTACACCAGCGCAAATCTTTCAAACATGTATGTTTCCTTGAAGTTTTCCATTCAAATTGCATGAAAAAGCAAATAAAGAGATGGAATGTATACTGAGATACGATCAATCAGTTGAGAAACAGTTTTCAGGAATCATGAGTGCATCCTTCCACATCTTCTTCCAACAGGCTGGGCAATAAATCACATAGTATTAATGTGGGAGGAAGAAAATGAGACTGCATTGTCTGCCTGAGTAGAAAAACACCCTTGGAAGATGTCACACAAATTACTATTGCACAATGTATATTCAGGAACCTGCTATAAAGCATGTGGGTGACTGTTTCACACGTTACCACGTTAGAAAAACATAAGCTATAAAACTTTGATTTTTTTGTCATAAATAAGTTCCTCAATGTCCAAAATTTCATTGTAAGCCAAACACCATGACAATAAAATAGTTGTTTCCAATAATCTACCTTTGAATAGGAAGTGATTCGTGTTTCGCTATTTCATAAAAAAAGTGTGGTCGAGCTGCTGGTAGGTGACCCAGAAGTTGTCAAATTAAATCTCTCACAAGATACAGCACTTTGTACAAGACAGCTGTGCCCAGTATTTGGTTTAGGCGAGGGTTTGACTTTGACAGGATGCCAAAACTGGACAATGGCTGGTTTCCCTCTTCCCTCAACCTAAGCATGTAGGGCTGAATGCGCTCAGTTAGATCTGCTAGACGCAGCTTCCTTACAACTGAGTAGGGCGTGAGCAGGTTGTGACGAGTGGACCCTAGGGAGGGGGACCTGAATCAGGGACAGTCAAGTTCAGAAGTCTGCCTTTTGCACAGCAGCACGAAGACCGGCCGCCCTCTGCTGAGACACCGGCTCTCTACACCCTCCCGTGCTCTACCAGTTGTGGACCTCCCACACTCCCCCAGAGCAAGCAGCAGCCAGGGCAGCCAGGGCAGCCAGGGCAGGGGGCTGGTGACTCCAGGATGCCACTGCCCAGCCTGTCCTTAATGCCCCAGGCTCGGAGGACACAGCGGCAGCACCGGTCCTTCGTGACAAGGCCCTCAGAGAAGGGGCAGAGGCTCCAGGCCCACGGGGAGGTGCATGTGGTTGGGAATCGAGCACCAACGCCAGCTCACAGCTCTGCCAGCTCCAGCCAGCAGCCTGAAAGCGAACAGATGTTGCCTCCTAGCAAACAGCAGCAGGGAGACAAGGCAGCACCCATCTCATGGGGACAACAGGCGATCGGCCCGCTGCCTCCTTCCCTCCCTCCCGTGCTCCAGCGCAGGTGTGCTAGAAGCTTCCATGCATGCGCGCAGGGACCAGACAGCTGGGCAGTCCCGAGGCCCATCCGCATAAGCCCCTCATCCTCTGCGGTCACTCCCTTCTCTATTTTCCTCTTTCTCAGTCGCACACATGGCTTAAAACGTGTTGACTAGGAGTAAGCGATGTGTACCATGAAACCTCTGGATACTTGTGGGTGGGCATGTCTCTTAGGATGTCTGAAGTGAAGCCTATCTTAAAAATAATAATGCGTGAGAAGTTGTAGAAACCACACTTCCTCCCTGGCCACTCATCTTCACATGCTTTCTGGGGCGGAAGGCCTGGGTACCATTAACCCTCTTTTACTTATCACAGAGGCCTAGGGAACACAGCCATGTGAGAGTCAGAGCTGAGACAAGAACCTACAAGGGAGGGCTCTGAGCACAGCCCACCCCACCCTGGAGGATGGACATGCACCTGCTGACTTACTTAGTGCGAGCTCCTTAAACTCCGGGAGGCTGGCAGCAGCACAGAGCTGGTAAAAGATGTGGTAATTCCTCTCGTCGTCTGCCTGGGGGAGGAAAGAGTGAAGCAAATTTAGGGCAGCGACCTCCAAGATGACTCCCTCTTCCACAGTAACCCCAGGGTGCTTGGGTGATGGGGCTGATGTCTTCACATCTCTGTCACCTTCAACTCCCATCTTCTGATTTCCCATTCACTATTACGGGCCTGCTTCCAACCTGATGACTTTTACCTCTTGACGTATACAAATGTATGTATGTATTTTTTTCCTTCTACATAGAGCATTACTGCTCTTCCACAAAGGGTGGGTCAGTCAATCGACATACACTTATCTAGACCTACATGCTGCTCGAAGACGGCCGGTCCCCTGCTGTAAGCTCCAGTCTCCTCTGGGAGGCCGGAGCGAAGTGAGAGCTGTGCTTGTCTGTCATGCTGGGATGGGCAGTCGGAAAGGTCCACAAGTGGGACAGGACTTCTAGTGGACACTTGCAGATGGACTGGCCTTCCCCTGGCTGAGCGTGGGGGAGGGGGCGGGGATTCAGGAGGCCTGGGCAAAGAAGAGAAAGTTCCATGGCAGGTTGCTCCCTTGGCTGCAAGGAGATGAAGGATAAGGTTGCCAGACCAGCCTGTGAGGTACAGAGAAAACCTGGGCAAAACAACAGGGAGGTGGAGCTGGTGGAAAAATTCACGGGATGCTCGCTAAGCACCAGCACGGAGGCATTGCCAAGAAACACAGATGAGACGGTTCTGATGTCTCCTCTGCAGGCAGCCAAAACGGCGGCCTGGGAAGCCACTGAACCCAAGGCCAAAGAGCGCTGCAGACTCAAGCCAGGACATGGCCATCTCCTCACCTCAGTGCTGGGGCTCAAGGGGAGCTGGGGGAGGACCGGTGTTGGCGTTGCAAGATGTGCCAAAGGCAGGGCAGAGAACGAAAAGGGTCACATAGTGGCACAGAGTAGCCGAGCAGGAGAAACAAAAGGTATGCAAGGACAGCGAAGACTGGAGTCAGGTAAGAAGTAGGACTTACTTGAAGAGGAAGTAGGCAGCCAAGTGTTTATCAAATAAGAAGCTTTCTCATGAAAGCTGAAACCCACACTCTGTATCCGTGACGTTTCCCTGATCAAAACTTTGCAACCCATGAGGAAACGGACTGTCTTGTTCTTCACTGTATCCCTGGCATCTAGCACAGGATAACACATAATGGGCATGCAATACATGTGTGCTAATTGAATCTAAAAAAGCACATGTGAGAGGTTTTTGAGGTCTAACACTGTACATTGTGAATGTATTGAATGCCACTGAATTATGCACTTAAAGTGGCTGATTTTATGCTATGTATATTTTATCATAATAAACGAATATGCCTCTGTACCATTTGAAGGAATACTTAGTGGCGAGAGAAAAGGAAGTCCTGAAAAAACAAGCTTGTCCTCCGACAAATGCAAGAGATAAGGCACTCTCTGGGCCAGAGGAGGCAAGCGAGGGTACAGGTGAGGGTGTTGTCCACGAGAGAGACACAGGGCCATGCCCTCCCACTCACCTGGAAGACCACTCGGGACTTCTCCAAGAGGTAGGTCCTCATGTTGGCCCCAATGATGTGGTACCTCTTGTCAAAGCCGATCTGGATGTACTTCCCAAAACGACTGCTGTTGTCATTGCGGGTGGTCTTGGCGTTCCCAATGGCCTGTGGAGACCAAACAAAATCCATGTGGGCAAGAAGGGAGGGCTTTCCTGACTTCAAGAGTGCATGTTTGTGACAGCCTCTGTCTCCAGATGAGAATCTCATGAGGTAGGCCTTACTTTCATCATCAGGATGAAGGCAGTGTGTTCAAGGTCACACGCCTGGGAGGGGCAACCCCAAGACATAAATTCAGATATGCCTGGGTCCAAGTCTGTAGTCATTCTGCCTACGTGGTGTCATGGCCCTTGCTACGTGCTATCTCCCAACTCTCCAAGCCACTCACCACCAGATAGGAAGCTACCACTCTTGTGGGTGACTTCTCACAGCTCAAAAGTATGATATCTTCAAATAATGGGATACTATAAGGTTGTTAAAAGAAATAAACTAGAGCATAGCTCATGGATAAATGAAAAAACATGGAGTGAAAAGTTGCACAATAGTGGATGGAATAGAATATGACATTTACATACAGCATAACATAAGCTCTATTGTTTATGTATATAGAAATACAAGGAGAATAAAATGAACTGGAATGATTTCAACATGATTGGATTGTACAATTAAGGCATATGTATCAAGTAGCATGAAAAGACAGAGAGAGGAGTAATTAACCATGCCCTGAAAATGGAAAAGGTGGTCAGGCTCGGTAGCTCAGCCTGTAATCCCAGCACTTTGAGAGGCTGAGGTGAGTGGATTGCCTGAACCCATGGGTTCAACACCAGCCCAGGCTAGTTGGCGAGTCGTCTCTACAGTAAAATCAAAAATAGAAAAGGTTTTCATAAGTGAAAACTGAAGCAAATCTTAAGGTGAGTAGAATTCTACCAGTGGGAAAAGGGGGAGTCCACAAACGTGGTGTGGACAGAGGGCCTGGTATGATTGAGAATGGACAAGTTTGGAGGGGCTGGAGTGTGTTGATACATGAAAGAAAACAAGAGGAAATATCAGGAAGGTCCACCGATGGCAGATGCTTCTATGAATGGGTTAATAGTTGCAGGCTTTCTTCTTTCTCTGTCTTAAAAAAAAAAAAAATCCCTGACAATTACGCGTCTTAGTTTCTATTGTTTTTGCTCAGTGTACCTCGGCCCCCTTTCTTTTTCCCAGGATGGGGCAATCTCTGTGGCTCTCAGGCTTGCTTGCTTGCAGACTCCAGCTACCCCAAGAAGCCACGTCACCCCAGCCGGGACTTGGGTTCTGTTCCTTCTCTAACAGTCTCTCGATTACCAATGTCCTTTTCATCATTGCAGACTTGTGAACAAATCACTCCCAGGAGCTGACAAGCTCTTACATAGAACAGGGCCAGAGAGCACTCACAGTGACAATAAATGATTCCAGTCCATCCTAGTCAATCCAAATCCATCTTCAAGTAGATTTTAATTCAAACAGCTGCCACTTAGTACAGCCCACTGGGATTTCTGTCTCCTCAGGAGGTGCCTGCACTGTGGCTCAGGGAGCTAACTGCCTTGTTGGGAGGTGCCACCATTCCTAGGACAGGCAGAGTGATCAGTAATCAGCTGTCCCTAATTAAGACATGCCCTGTGCTGGTGACAACCCCGAGAGCCACGGGCTGACAGGGCTTCCTGCCACAAGGACCCAGGCAGACACAAAGCTTCCAGAAAGTCATGTTTTCAGACTTTGGCAAGATACAAGTCTTTCTTTCCTTGCTTGGCAATACTCTTTCTAATCCCACCCCGGGTTATTCCTGGCTCCAATTCTTACTTTCCAAGTTAATATCCAAGACTGCTCTCAAATCTTCAACTTAATGACAGCTCAAGGAATAGTCACAATGTTGGCAAAATTCTCCATTTTACAGGAGCCCTCAGGACTTATCCTTATCATTTCCAAAGTACTAATTTGCACCAGGCAGAAAGTTAATGCTTTGAACCCAAACCACGGTGGCATTTATTTACATGATTATATAAGGTCAGGTGGTCCACATATTCACTCCTTCAGATCTCAGCAACCAATAGAAGCACATGTTATGTGTTTTGGATGTGCATGTCACTCTTAGTTCGCTCCTGTGCCAAAGCACCCTGCTCCCCACAATCCACAGCCCATGCAGACCATAACAGATGTTGCAAACGTTAGACAGTGTCAGACCACTGTGATTTAAAAGCATTCCCAAGGCAGGCACTCAAACAGGTATTTGTACGCCATGTTCACAGCACCATTATTCACAACAGCCCAATGGTGGAGGAATAAAGAAAATGTGGTATAACTGTGCAATGAAATATTGTCTAGTCGGAAAAAGGAAGAGTACTGACACCTGTTAAAAGGTAGACAGACCTTGGAAACATGGTGCTAAGTGAAATAAACTAGACACAAAAAGACTAATATTGTCTGAATCTCCTTCTATGAGGTACCTAGAATAGGCAAGTTCATAGAGAGAGAAAGTAAAAAAGAGGTTACCTGGGGCTTGGGGAAGGGAGAACGGAGAGTTATTGCTTAGTGGGTACAGAATTTGTTTGGGATGATGAAACACTTCTGGATCCAGATGGTGGTGGTGACTGTACAAACATTGTGAATGTACTGCACGCCACTGAACCAAGCACTTAAAATGGCTATTTTTATACTATGCATATTTTATCACAGTAATTTAAAAAACATTCCCCATGTCTTATACATGTTCAGTAATGTGGTGAACCGCCTTTACTAAATTCCCAATGTGACTAACAAATACTTTGCTCAGTCTCCAGAGATCAGGGAGGTTTCTTCTCTTCTCTCTTTTGCCTAGCACACCTGCTCTATCTCTAAAACAAGCGTAACCTGTGTCTCTGAAACCTTAATGACTAAAAGATGAAGATGATTTTGACACTCAGGAGCAAAGAAGAGAGCCTGGTTTCACTCCCATCTGAGGTAAAATATGATGCAAACTGTGGAATGCTGTCTTAGCTGCTCCAATACAGATATGGCACATGGTCTAAGGGAGGCCAAGGCCACAGTTCACAAAGGCCTTCTGAACTGGACCACGGCCATGCCCCAGGCTCAGGGCTCGGAGTTTGCACTGTGAGTAAGCAGGCTACCAATGAATTTTGCAAAAGAGGGAGTTAAATTATGGTAAAGCCATTTATTAATACATGTTTGCAGCCACTGAAACTGTTCATAAAAAGTTTAATGCTATAGGAACAAGGCTTATGCTATAATAATTAGTTAAAAACTGGAAGGAAATATGCCAAAATGTTGAATGATGATCAATATGCCAAAAGTTAGCTGTGGTACTCTGGGGTACTATATCCTTCATCCTTTCACATTTTCCAGCAAGCCCTTTCCATCATTTCAGCAGGTCACTGGTTCTCTGAGTGTGCTGATCAGACCAGCAGTATCACCTAGGAACTTGTGAGAAATGCAAACTAGGGGCCCCTTTCCAGACTTTCCGCACCAGCCAGTTCCGGGCAAGGGGAGGTAGCAGTCTGTTTCAACAAGACTTGCAGGCAATTCTCATGCACCCTCAAGTTTGGGAAGCACTGTAATAGAAAAGATGTTTTTGCGTGTTTGGTAGAAAAGCCTTCAGTTGTATTGACCATTTCCCAATTCATCTGAGAACAGACACTGAAACTTGCTTTTGTTGAATTCTTAGTGCATGGGTAGTATCCCATTACTCAACAGAGAACAAAAGTTCTCCAGACAATGCAACTCAGAAGGCAGGAGAGTTGCCTGGATAGTCGATAAACTCCTATGAACTGAGACTCAGAATTTACTCCCGCACTTGGTAAAGAAAGAGGGAAAGGAGCAGGTTCTTGCTCCCACCAGCTCCAGAGTAATGTGGAATGCCAACCACCATGGTGACTTGTGTCTTAGTCAACAGAGCTTAGGACTCTGCAGGGCCCCTGTACTATACTCAGACCAGCAGCATCACCCAGAAATTTGTGAGGAATGCAAACTATGGGTCCCTTTTCAGACTTGCTGTACCAGCCAGTTCGGGGGGGTGGGAGGGACAAGGTGGCTTGCAACTTGCAAGCTCAACTGAATTTCTTCTTTTTTATTTTTTGAGTTGAAGTCACTCTGTCACCAAGGCTGTAATGCAGTGGCACCATCACGGCTCACCACAACCTTGACCTCCTAGGCTTTGACAGTCCTGCCTCAGTCTCTTGAGTAGCTGAAATTGTAGGTGTGTGTCACCATGCCTGGCTAACTTGTTGTAGAGATGAGATCTTGCTATCTTGCTATGTTGCCCAGCTGGTCTCGAACCCCTGGGCTCAAGCGATCCCCCACTTCCACCTTCCAGATTGCAGGGATTACAACAGGTGTGAGCCACCACATCTGGCCTTGAATTTCTTCTTACTAAAACAAAGGGGCTTCCCAGGGCTGGCAGAAGGGCCTGCTCCCACCAGGCTGTGACTCAGACGATGATGAAGAGCCTCATATGCAAAGGTGGGGAACCAAACTGGCCCAGGGACTGTGAGGCCATTTAGTTCTACTCCATCACAGTTAAGTCTTTAAGGAGAAAAGAGAGAAAAACAGAATGGTGCCCTGATTATAATACATTAGTATACCAAGCTCTGATTTTTTTTTTTTTTGAGTTGGAGTCTCAGTCTATCACCCAGACTGGAGGGCAGTGGCACGCTCTTGGCCACCACAGCCTCAACCTGCTGGGCTCTGGCGATTCTTCCACCTCAGCCTTCCAAGTAGCCAGAACCACGGGTGCGCGCTACCATGCCCAGCTAGTTTTTTTTTTTTTTTTTTTTTTTAATTTTTGAGTTGGAGTCTCACTCCGTCGCCCAGACTGGAGTGCAGTGGCCGCTCCCGGCCACCGCAGCCTCGACCTGCTGGGCTCCGGCGATCCTTCCGCCTCAGCCTTCCAAGTAGCCGGAACCACAGGTGCGCGCTACCACGCCCGACTAATTTTTTTATTTTATTGTAGAAATGAGGTCTCGCCAAGTTGCCCAGGTGGGTCTTGAACCCGCGGGCTCAGGCAATCCACGCACCTCAGCTTCCCAAAGGCACGGGATTACAGGCTGAGACACTGAGCCCGGTTCAGCTAGTTTTTGATGTATTGTAGAGACAAGGTCTCACCAAGTTGTCCGGGTGGGTCTCGAACCCACGGGCTCAGGCAATCCACTCGCCTCGGCCTCCCAAAGGGCTGGGATTACAAGCTGAGCCCCCGAGCTTGGTCAAGCTCTGATTTTTAGGAAGCGTCTCTGGCCTGTGATTTCCCATGAAGCCCTAAGGCTGGAGATCCCGACAGGACCTGCCCTGTTCATGCCGTCACAAGGAACTATTTTCTGAGGACTTTCAACAGATGCTATGTCACCATATACCTTCTGGCTATACCCTCCCCTCAAAAGATAAGATGCCCAAGGGTTTTTTTTTTGTTTGTTTGTTTTTTTAGGAAAAAGGAATATTCTACCTGGGCTTCCCCATGCCTCCTGACTCAGCAGACCCCTCAGAGCACACACGGGCTTTGGTGGAGCAGTGGCAGCAGTGGGGGAGGCAGGGAACAGCTGCCGCTACAAGGTTCAGCAGAGTCCAGGGACATGGGGACACTCTACCCACTCCTGGGACCCACAGGACACGACCAGGTCAGACTGCTCTCATATGGGTGGCTTCAGGAACGCTTTGCGACCTTTCTTCAACATGGGCAGTGGTCCCAGGGCAGGCTCCCACATGAGCTGCTTTCAGGGAGTCTTGGATTAGTCACACAGGCTTGACACCCACAGTCTTGCTGCCAGTGGAGGAACTCCAGCCAGGAAGGCTGAGACGCCTCAAAGGCTTTACCTCCATGATGGGACTGGACGCCAGGACCTTCTCTTCGATGTTGGTTTCACTGGCTGAGCCACCCACAGTGGCGAAATAGCGCATGGCATACTTGGCTGACACGGTCTTCCCAGCCCCAGACTCCCCGCTGACTATGATGGACTGGTTCTTCTCGTCTCTAGAAGGGAAAAAGCTCTGGTCAGTCGTTGGCTGGGAACGGTTCTGTCTGACAAGGGCCCACGCCTCCCTGGGAGCACCTCTCCTGCTTTTAGGGGTGAGCACGGAAGGACAGCGCAAACACAGTCGCCCTCCCTCCCACATCTGCACGGGATCTGAAAGGAGGCAGGAAGAAAGCAGCTCTGAGAAGGGCTGGCAAACAGTACGTGCCTGTCTTCACATCCCAGAGGGGGCAGACAGAGTTCTCTCCGGGTACAGGCCCCTCCACCACTCCCTCCTGGATGTCCTTTGAGAATTTACATGCGCATACTTCCATAATCTCCCCTTTGTTCCTCTAACACGCCCATCGTGTGCCACTGTGTACAATATGATTTTTCTTAAAGAACAGGGATCTCTTTTTTTCTTCTTGCATTTGAGTCCAGACTGCCAGCAGATGTGGTTTTGGGCATTTTCGTCCATGCAGATATGTCACAAAGGGCATGCCATTAGCCACTAGGCTGATCTTGCCTCAAGTTTCTCAGAAATTGGACAAAACAGTGATCAATTTCAAAAAGAGGATTTGAGTCAGACTGAATGGAAGGCAGAAAGAAGATACTCTACATCAGATAAAAACACATCTATATTTATCCCTTTGAAACAGAGGAGGAAGACGAATGGGTGACGAGAAGAGCAGCTACGTAGGTCTCCAAGGAACATGGATTCAAAGCAGCGTGTGAGGACACACGTTTGGGCCGCGGTTTTGGGAAACTAATCCCTTATAGGGGTTATACTCAACCACCCACCTCCAGTTCCCAAGCCCACCGCCAACAGAGCAGGCATCCACTTTCAACCCCTGGTGCCTGGCACAAAGTAGAGACTCAATATATATCGCCGGACTAGAAGCAAACTAACCTAAGCCCCTTCTTTCCCAAATGAACGCAGGCTTAGAACTGGGGTCTGGCACCAGTCCAGCACTCCTTACACCAGCCCTTGTGGCTTCCTAGGTAAACTGGGCTAGAGAAGAATGGAGACGTACCATCAGCGGGCTGGCTGCCCTGCCTGCTGACTATCAACACAGGTAGCTGCAGCTTATCAGCACAGGTGAATGAATACTGGCCTCTCCTCTGATCTGGGCCAACAGCCATGAAGCTGGAAAAGGGGGGAGATGATAAAAGGGAGTCTGTCCAATTAGAGATGGACTGGACAGACAGAAAAGAATGGGGCTGGAGGTGTAGGCACTGGGCGAGAATCATGGGTGGCTGGGAGGAAAAATCCTTCCCTGTGCACCACTTCCTGGGATCAGCAAAAAGATGTGTGGTCTCAGCTCACACAAACTATTGGCAGTGGGGAGGGAAGAGAATGGCTAGGATACACTGTTGAGAAGACAAAGATAAAAAACAAAAATCCTTCAAATTGGCTCTAAAACCAACTACTTGAAAACTCATGCAGAGTCCCACCTAGCATTTGGGGGCTGGAATCACTGGTGGCTTTCTGAGATCCTTCTAGCTCTAGGATATCACTGTGGTCATCGGAGCATCTGTTTCTCCTCTTCTTGCTCCTGTGAAATCTTGACATTGAAAGGTAGCCTCCAAAGAGGGCTGTGGATGTTTATATTCCCCATTCTCATTTATGTTGTATTTTGGTTTTAGACAACATTCACTGGGTCTAGCAGATAATGACAGGTGTAACCTCTGCTCTCAAGGCCTTCATTACCAAGTCCTTTGAGAACCGCTCAAAAGCGCAACCATCCCAGATGACTGAGAGCATGAGAAGTTGGGTTTTGCACCCCTAAAACAGACTCAAGTTTGATGTCATCTTTAAACCTCCCTATGCATCTGCAAGGATCGTGGCAGCTATACCCAAAAGTCCGTAGTTTTGCACCAAATTTGAGTGCTTAACCTAAAATAAGTAAGTCCAGGGTGTGTCCAAGCCTTGGTCCCCATCAAAGAGCCAATTAGGATGCAGAAGTATATGCCATACCAAGTACTTAAAGAGTCCCAGGAAGCAACAGAGTGCCCAGAGAGGATGAGTCAGATCTGCGGGAGGGAGGTCGGGCCAGTGCTGCTGGCCTCCGAGGGTGACGTAGCACCCACAGGACCCCGACCTGCCGGCAACAAGCTACGCCTGGCAAAGACAAGCAAGGCACAGGCCAGTGGCCGCTTCCCACTTGCAGTGTCGAGACTGGACTCCGCACAGCACTGGGCAACACCTGGAGAGTCACACGTGGTGCAGGAAAGAGGGTGACTCGCATGAGAGGCAGAACAGGCGGGGACAAGCAGGTGATTCTAGGTGTCAAAAAGTGGGGCTAGAATACGTGATAAGAGTAGGAATTCAAAAGGAGTCGTCTCGAGGCGGCAAAGCAGTATCACTGGCAGGATGCAGAGGCGAATGCTGGTGTTCTGATGGGAAGGCAGGAACACAGCTAAGAAATGATCAGGAGTTATAAGTGCCTCACGTTTTAAAAAATCTTCACATCCAAGGCTCTTCGGAGGAACTAGTCTGAGGAATGCCCAAGAGTGCTAACTCCTGCCCAATTCGACTGGTGTTACATGATGCTGACATACAGGCTGAAGTCAGGTCATTTCCCCTCTTAGACCAGCAAGTACCTTTTAACAATGTCCCTAATTTACGCTGACAAAAAATATTTAGAAAAAGTGAGGGCTTTTATGGAGCTCTGCTGCACTCCCTTTGCACATCATACCACTCCCCTCCCTCACCTGTGTGGGGCTCAGGCATGCAGGTGCACATTGTCCTGCGACAGCCCACAAGGGGTAATGAGTGTTCTACAGATATAAGCTTTCCTCCCAGCTCGTTAGAGAGCTGAAATCCAGAATATGCACTTCAGCCTTGAATCTGAACCTCAGGTGCACCACTGACTAGCTATCGTCAGGCGACTAATCACTTAGACAAAGCAGTTAACTTATCTGACCCTCAGATGATCTCAGCTCAGTCTCTTAGGACTTTGATCCCTGATACCTGAAGACCAGGTTCTTCTAAGTGGTCACCCTGACTTAGGTAACCAGGTTCCTGATTCATCCTAACACACCTTCCAGATCAAATTTCTAAAGCACAGCACTAATCAAAAAAGTTAAATAACTCAAAAAGGTTAAGTAATACTATTGCTTATCAAATCAAGTCCGAACTCCTTGGTTGGGCACAAGAACCCCTCTACAAGGCATACCCCTAACACTAAAGCCCTTAACGAGAATAGGGCAAACAGTGGTTTTGTAAAAAGGACATTGTTTTTTGTGACAAGGACTCAGGACCTGCCCTGAGTCCTGGGGTTCTGCCACCAACAGACTTTTGGTAAGCCACTCAGCCACAAAATAGAGGACACCCCCCATGTTACATACTGGCTGTGAGATGACGTGAGGGTACTGCACCCTTTCCTGCCACTTTCTTTTTTTTTTTGAGTTGGAGTCTCACTCGGTTGCCCAGACTGGAGTACAGTGGCCGCTCCTGGCCAACGCAGCCTCAACCTGCTGGGCTCCGGCGATCCTTCCGCCTCAGCCTTCCCAGTAGCCGGAATTACAGGCATGCGCTACCATGCCTGGCTGATTTTTTGATTTATTGTAGAGATGAGGTCTCGCTGCCCAGACGGGTCTCGAACCCGCGGGCTCAGGCAATCCACTCACCTCAGTCTCCCAAAGGCGCGGGATTACAGGTTGAGCCACCAAGCCCAGCTTCCCACCACTTTCATTCCTGGTGTTCCCTCTACCTGAAAGTCACTCTTGATAAATACTTTTCCACTGAGGTCCTGCCGTGTCCAGTGCCTGGGCAGTCAGTCTGTCCTGACTCCCTACCTAGGCACTCCAGTAAATCTCCATTTCCTCCAGTGACATACCACTTGCTTTGACCCACTTTTAAAACTTTGTCAATTTCACTTTATATTGGTGTCAGCCCCTGCATGGTCATTTCACTTGCTGTGTGACTTTGAGCTGCTTCCTTTTTCTGGTCCTCTGTCTTTTATCTCTAAAGTGTAGGGCTGTGACTTGAACTTCCCAAGGGATCTTGTCTGCCTCTGATGTTTAGTGATCTCCCGGCTAAAATCCTAACAGGAAGTATGAGTGGGGAAAACTTCACTTCAAATTTCGGGTACTTAGGGCTGGTTATAGGGGAGAGATTTGCAGTAAGGAGACAACCCAATGTCCTTCAAAAACAGAACCAACGTGTGGCTCTGTCCACTAGCACCCATGCCTATGCATCCTTTCCACCCTGGCACCTTCTTCACATAAGTGGCACCAACCCTTAGTCATCCACTCCAGGAAGAAACCTAGGAGTCACTGCGACTCCTCCCTTCCCCAGCTCCACCTCGGGGCATCCCACTGAAGGCACCTCCAAACTGTTGTCCATCTCTAACCCTGTGCCTTTGGGTCCAAGCCAGTGTCACCTCCGAAGGGTGTTGCAACAGCAGCGCTCTAACCTTGCTCTTGGCCTCCTTCCACACGTCCTCACAGCAAGCATGGGCTCCTACCTCTCCCTCGCTCTAAGCCTTCCAGCGACATTCCTCTGCCTCTTAAATGAGACCCTGGCTCCACCGGGTTCAGGTCCTGAGGGCTGAGCATCTCCCTCAACCTCACCACATGCCACTCTTCTCCCTCTGACCCGGTTCGGTCCACCCGAAGCTTATTTCCTTATTCCCTCCCACTTTGCAATGAGCAGCCCGAAGCTATTCCAGCTACACAGATAACCCCTCCTGTCTCAGCTCGTGATGTCTGCTGCTCAATCACATTCTGCCTGTGGCTACTCATGTATAACTGCTTTCTTAAATTTTTTTTTTTCTTTTTTTGCAGAGACGGGGTCTCACTATAGTGCTCAGGCTGGTCTGGTCTTCAACTCCTGGGCTCAGATGATCCTTCCATCTAAGCCTCATGAGTGGCTGGGACTACAGGCATGCACCACCACACCCAGCTAATTCTTTTATTTTTTTTGTAGAGACAAAGTCTCACTGTATTCCCCAGGCTGGTCTCAAACTCCTGAGCTTAAGCGATTCTCTAGTCTCAGCCTCCCAAAGTGCTCCGA